CGGAGCCGGTGGGGCAGGGCCGGGGCACCGAGGGCCGGGGCACCCGGGCCTAGGTCAGGCTTGCAGCGCGGGCGCTCTGCAGGTGCACGGGCCCCAGGCTGCTGAGCGCGGGCCAGAGCATCAGGATAGAGGCTGCGGGGCAGAGCATCAGAGAAGAGGCTGCGGAGCAGACCCGGGCCTGCACAGGGAGTAGCCACGGATTACCGGGCTTCCTTCGGTAGCATGACTCAAAGACCCTTCTCCCAAGCCATCCTCAGGAAGGAAGGTGGTTCACGTGTTACAACTACATTCTCTGAAGGTGCCAGTCACACCCTAACCAAAACGAAATGCATGAATAACGCATGCTGTTGTTAACAGCTGTTGCAAAATGCCCCTAAAAAGGCCTCGAAAGACAACTGTGGCGGGGTGGGCATGAGGCCCTGGGTTTCGAACCACAATTAAAGGAGGCCCCAACCCTTCTATGCCTTAACTAGAACTTTTGCCAAGGGCTTTCCAAGCTCCAGCCTGGGACATGAGCACACAGACAGCTAGCTGGGCACATAGAAAGTGTACCTGACACAAGATCTCTGCATATCAATCGATGTCAATGCCTAAATTAAGCCCCTATAACCAATGTTCTTGTTTCAAAACAAATTATGCACTCGTCTCTTTTTTGCTTGTAAAGGCATCTTCTGGTAACTAGTTGGATGCTGGTGGCTCACACCAGGTACTCAGGAAGCTGAGATCTAGAGGATGGAGGTTTGAAGCCAGCCTTTGAAGAAAAGTTGGTGAAACTCTATCTCCAAAATAGTCAGCAAAAGTGGTTTGGAGGCATGGCTCAAGTGGTAGAGAACCAGCTAAGCAAGCAAGCTAAGCAAGCATGAGGCTCTGAGTTAAGTCCCAGGTACCGGAAAGAAAAGAAACAAAAAGGCACCTCTTGCTTTAAACTCTTTGGGTATGCCTGGTCTCTACAGCATGCATAGCTGGGAATGGAATCCTCTACCTCCCCCCCAAAGCTCAGTATTCCTTAGAATCTCTCTGTGTTATTTGGTTGATCATACACATTTCCACATGTACACACATGACTAAAACAAAATAGTAAGTACTGGAGCTAAACATAATCCCAGCACTTGGGAGGCAGAGGAAGGAGGATTTAAAGTTGGAGGCCAGCTTGGCCTACATATGGGACAGTTTTAAAAAAGAAAATCTTCTTACCAAGAAAAATGTGCTAGAGTATGTTCTACTTTGTGATATTTCATTTGTTCTAAAAGATCAATTTCATTACCCACTAATGGATTGAGATACATTTTGAAAATACCATAATTAAATAAGTCCTATGAAGGAATAGTGGTGGAATTAGTTTAGAAAATACTGCATTTTCTTCCTTCCTTCCTCCTTCCCTCACTCCCTTCCT